GCTATGAAAAAACAAGCTGAGTAGGGAGATCACATGGCCCTGAATTCAAGCTCCATTACTAGTAAGAGAGGAGAGAAGAGAGAAGAGACAGAGGAGAGAGGACAGAGAGGGAGAGAGGGAATGAGAGAAAGAGAGAGGAGAGAGGGAGGGAGAGAGAGAGAGACAGAAAAAGACATAGAGAAGCTGGTACCAGTGGCTCATGCCTATAATCCTAGCTACTCAGGAGGCAGAGATCTGAGAATCGTGGTTTGAAGCCAGCCTGGGAGGAAAGTCTGGGAGACTCTTATCTCCAACAAACTATTCAAAGAAGTCAGAATTGGCACTGTGGCTCAAGGGGTAAAACACTAGCCTGGAGCAAAAGCAGCTCAGGGACAGTGCCCAGACTCAGAGTTGAAGCCCCAGGATTGGCAGAAACAAAACAAAACAAATGAAGGGAATTAGGCGGAATTAAGCATTCAGCTAAACCTGTCATGTTTTTGCATGCAAGACAGCACCAATTTATAGTGTTTTCAGAGTTTTCTGTGTTTTCTAAACTTGCCCAATTAAAAAAATAAACTACAAAATTAACTATGTATGCAGATTTTCAGGTCCCAGGCCCAGTAAATCAAGAGTTAACAGGCAAATGGGTCTGGAAATGTGTGTGGTTAATAAAAGCTCCAGGTGCATCTCATAATGGAGAAGTTTGCTCAACATTTGTAATTGAGGCTCACCTGGGGACTTTCAAGATTCTGATTTACTCCTATGGAGGAACTTGGGGATCTGGAATTTTAATAAGGCCCCAAGAGATTCTAACGTTCAGGTTTTGTGAACCCCACTGTGAGAAGCACTGATAGCTTGCAAACTCAGTCTTAGTTCTTAGAGCCAAAGCAGTGACAGCTTTTACTAAGGACTTGTGCATCTTTTGACTTTGCAGACACTGTTTATAAACTATTTGTCTTTTAAAACTTTTCCACTTAATTTGAAAACTTCTTAAAAAAATTGCAAACATCGGTTGGGAATGTGGCTCAGTGGTAGAGTGTTTGCCTAGCATGCAAGAAGCGTAGAGTTTGATTCCTCGGTACCACATAAACAGAAAAAGCTGGAAGTGGTGCTGTGGTTCCAGTGGTACAGCACTAGCCTTGAGCAAAAGAAGCTCAGGGACAGTGCCTAGGCCCTGAGTTCAAATCCCATGACTAGCAAAAAAAAATCTGCAAACATACAATACCCATTATACTACCTGCTCCAACATTTGTCACATTTACTTCGTGTATGTATACATGTATATATGTATGTTTGTTTTTGGTGCTGGAACTATGGCTGGAACTCAAGGTCTCTGTCTCTGTCTCTGCTTTTTTCACTCATGACTAATGTTTACCATTTGAGCCATATCTCTACTTCTGGCCTCCTGTTGGTTAGTTGGAGATGAGTCTGTTGGATTTGTTTGCTCAGGCTGGCTTTGAATCACAATCATCAGATTACAGCTTCCCAAGTAGCTAGGATTACAGGCGTGAGCTATGGGTTCCTGGATTTATGTATTTTAACTGAATTATTTCAGTGTAAGTAAATGTCATCAAGTTTAAAATATCACCTGTCTCTTGAAACTATTCATCCAAAAATGCCAGCTCAAAAAGACAACAGATTCAACAGTCCCTTTCTCTCTTTTCCGGGAGAACAACTACCACTTCTGGTCTCTTAATTGCCTTCCCATGGGCTCACTTCACATGGCACAGGTGTAGTGTTCACAGGGGGTGCATATGCACATGTGCATGTGCATAATTTACATATTCGGGATTTACCACTAGAGTTGGAGAGACCATGACTCTTCTACTTTGGTGTCTATTTGCTGCATTTGCCTACTACAGTGTGTTATACCCCACAAACACTTCTTGTTGAATGAATTGATGAATGTTAAAGTTCAGAAGAGCAGATAGTGGCCCAAGACTGGAGTATTAGCATGCCAGCCCAAAGGACCAGAAAAGCGTCACAGGTCTATCCACACACAGAAGATGCTAGGCTGATCTGGCCAGTGGAACCACAGAGCTGAGACAGAGAGACAGTGTCCAGAGGCTATGATAAGATAGGGTAAACACAAGTCAGGCTCACAAACAGTAGTTGGGATGGAGACCTAAGTGTTATATATGGGACCCCCTCAATGCACTATGGAGCTGGGAATGCAACACAGGGGTGAAAATGTTCTATTCTTGAACTATATCCTGAGCCTGTATAGTATTTTTTTAAGGACACTTTCTAAATTTAAATCTGTAACCCTGAGTTTATACAGCATTTTAATTTTAAAACTTACAGTAGAAAAATTAGAATATATAGAGAAATAAGATAGTCCTTACTAATCCTACCATAGAGGAAAAATCACCATAGTTACCATTTTGGTGTCATCTCACATTTTTTCTTAACATACATACATACATATATATATATATATATATACTGTATGATAAATGGTATGTTATATTATTATTTATGAAATATTTTTCAAATCTTTTGTTATTAAAAAAGGTAATGCACAAAGGGATTGCAGTTACATAAGTCAGGTAGTAATTTCTTTTTGGACAATGTCACCCTTTCTTATATATATTCTACATATAAAATAACGAATTTTATTTATATCTTAATATAACTAATTACATGTTTATATACTTAAATGTGTAGTGGATCTATGGCATTTTATTTTATATTAATGTTAAATAATTAAGGATATGCCATGCAAAGATCTACAGTAGGTTTTTTTGAACAAAAATATCTTTTCCTAGCACGATGCTGTAAGGATCTCTGTCTGCCAGTAGATGGCACTATTTTCATTTGTCAGCGTAAGTAGAAGTCTAAAATGTTTGCCTCCAGGCAATATTTTTGTTTTATTTTTCAGTTTTACCATTTGTTTACTAAGTGGCAGGTGACAATAAGCAAGTTACTTGCTTTCCTTTAGGATATTCACTCAGGAACTTCCAAAACCCTTTTGGCTTCCAAAACATCTTTGGCTTACATTCACAAGCAAGGCTTACATAGAGAGACCATGCACTAATCCTCTCCCTTGTTTCCTAATGGAAGCTATTAATAAGGACTAGCTAACCCATCGTTATTTTAGAGAAAAAGCTATCAGGCCTTTCTGAGGCTATGAAATCAAACAAAACAAAAATGAAGCATTAACTCTAGAATTCTTGTTTTCCACATAGGACAGTATTAATCAAATCATGCAGATTTCTTTCATGGCTAGTTAATAATGAACTTAAAAAATTACACATTCTATTGTAATGCACCTAATTTTTTGTGGCTCAAACCTTTCAAAACAGTAAGAGATGAGCTAGATGCTGGTGGCTCATGCCTATCATTCTAGCTACTCAGAAGAGATCTAAGGATCTCGGTTCAAAATCAGCCTGGGCAGGAAAGTCTGTGAGATTGTTATCTCGAATTAATCACCAAAAAGCCCTACGTGGAGTTGTAGCTCTAGTGGTAGAGTGCTAGCCTTGTGCAAAAACACTTAGAGACAGCACCCAGGTCCTGAGTTCAAGCTCCAGTATAGGCGCAAACAGAAAAAAAAACTTAACAATAGGGTAGATGCTGCGATATGTCTGACAAGAAATTATATCTGAAGTGAGAAGAAAGGATGAACAATTCAGGGTCGAGAAAGCAAAGGAGGGGGGTGACATTATCCCAAAAGAAATGTACTCTGCCTGACCTGGGTAACTGTAACCCCATCTGTACATCACCTTTATAATGTCAATAACAAATTTAGAAAATATTCCAGGTCCGATGCGGGAACTGAGAGACGTTCGTATTCAGTAGTGGAGTAAACATCTCAGCTACCGGATTAGCGGATCAGCGAGGGCCGCAAAGGCCGGCTAGCCAGGCTGCGTTTGTTTTCCTGGTGACTACAAGGATTCCTTGTAAACGTGCCATGGAGAAAATTCTCGAAGGCTGTGTTTCCAGATAGGCTCACCAGGTCCTTCTTGGGCATGCTCCCTTCGAATGAGAAGAAGGTCCGGCGATTTTTAAGTTTTAGGCTATTTTTAGCTTATCCTCTACTTTCGGACTCGCGGGAGACACTTTCCAGCCTAACGAGCGCGGACGGCTGGTCTCCCGCCTGGGCCCGGGACGCCTGGAAGCCCAGCCTGGCCCCACCTGTCGCGCACACTCTGCACACCCCGCGATCCGCAAGTGCGGACAGGTGTCCTCTGCCCCGCCCCGGGCCCAGAGTCGCAGCCTCGCAGCGGGCGAGCCTGCGAAATCCGCTGTCTCCCTCGGGGACAGCGAGGCCAGGGAGAGGGTGTCGGGGTGCGTGTGTGCGCGTGTGTGTGTGAATGTCTGAGAAGCAAAAGGCACCCAGCCCCCCCGACTGGGGTCGAGTGGGGTGTCGGGGTCCGGCCCTGCACGCGTTCCTCCGACTCCGGCCGCACGGGGCCGCGCTCCCAGGCCCCGTCCAGTCCTGCGCACGGCCCTCCGCCCTCCAGCGCCTTTCGCGTCCGCGACCCCGGGAACCCATCCAAGCCCCTAGCGGCGGTGACTCCGGGTGTCCACGGGTCCCAGCGGGGCCGAAGGGTCACCCAAGCCGGCGAACCTCATTCCCAAGGACAAGCAGCGAGTGGCTGCACCGCTCCCCCTCCCCCGTTCCCTCGCGGGACTCGGGAGGCTGCAGTGACCCAGCCCCTCTAGAACCCCCCCCACCCCCACCCCGGGCGGCCGCGGGGAGGCACGCGCCCGGACCCCGCCCCTTCTCCAAACTTCTACCCGCGCGCGCGGGTTCCCTCGGTCCGACCCCTCTGCGCCATCCGGCTCCTCCCCCTCGCTCTCCACCCCCTCCACCTCCTCCTTTTCTGGTCCCCTCTGTGGAATCCGCCCCCCTCCCGCCCGTCGGGTCTGGGGATCCTCCCCCGACTCCCCCCGCGTGCCGCCGCCGCCGCCCAGGTTCCTCCCCCCCACCCCCCCAGCCCGGGCGCTCCCTGCCAAGCCCATGATGTAATGGTGTATGTTAATCAGTAGCATGTGGGGAGCTCCGGCTCTGGCGGCTCAGTCCTCCGCGAGCCGACACTGGAGGCAGCAGCAGCTACAACAGCAGCGGCGGCGGCAGCGCCCCGATCCCGCCGCGCCGTCCTCTCCCCGGGCCGCCCGCCCCGACGGCATGGCCCGCAGCCCGCGCTTCGGGCGCCCCCAACCCCGCTGAGAGCCGCCGCGGCCCGGACCCGCGCGCCGAGGGCCCCCCGAGCCGCCGGGATGAGCCGCGCCGAGGTGAGCCCCGGACTTGCCCTTCCGCCCACTGTGGGGGTCCCTTTCCCCAAGAAGTTCTAGGAACCCAGAGACAGGATGCTGGGAGAGAGTTGCGCCGTCCGAGTGACTCCTCTCCCCGCCGCTGGAGGCCACCAGAACGGGGATCGCACCAGGGGAGCCCCCAAAGCTTAACTTTCTTCTTTGCAATCATTACGGGGGGGGGGAAGGGGGCGTTTGTCGACGGCAGGAATCCTCTCGGGAAAGCCGTGAGAGGAGGGGGGGGAAATCTCTACTGTCGGGGTGCTTGGCGTGCGCCCGCCACCGCGCCGTCTCCGGCCGAGGAGGCACGGGGCGAGGGCAGACCCGGCGGGCGGCGGGCGGCGGGGGCAGGACGCTGACTCCACACGCGCGCGTCCACACACGGGCGCACCCGCACGCACACCTCCGCCGCTTCCCGGCGAAGCAGGCCCCGGGCGACCTCCCTGGTGGGCTGCAGCGCTGCGCCGGGGAGTCCGGGCTCCGCGCCGCGCCGCCGCCCGCTGGGCGCGGAGCTTCGGGTGGGGGAAGAGTTTATTTTTGTCTCGAGCTGCTGCCGCGGCTGCTCGCGGCCTAAATCCAGAGGGGCGCCTGACGGTGGAGATGCTGGCTGTGGCTGTAGATGGAGCTGCAACCGCTCGGTGGCTTCTCCAGGAGGAGGAGGAGGAGGAGGGAGGGGAGGAGGGGGAGGGAGGAGGGAACCGCCGCTGCCTCCGCCCCTGCTTTGCATTAGCCCGCACCCCCACCCCCGCGCCCCTTCGCCGCCGCAGTGCAAGTTTTCAGCGCGGGGAAAATCTGTTGCTAGTGCTTGGCGTTCGCAGGCACAACCCCCGAGGCCACCCCGGGCGGGGCGTGCGGGGAGCCCCGCAGACGATCGTAGCCGCAGCAACAGGGAGCCGCGGGGTCTCCTCCCGCACCTGGGAAGGAGGCTTCTGGCCATTCCCGGCTGGGAAATAACCCATCTTCCGCATCCCGGTGCGGAAGGGGAGGCTGGAATCGGGGAGGGGGAGCTCGACCTTTGCGCTACACCCCCTCCCCAACCTTCGCCCCCCACCAGCCCCATCCCCGGCCCTCCCCATTGCCCCCCTCCTTCCCCCCCCCCCAACCCGGGCGCACTCCTCCTCTGGCCCAGGTCTCACTGCAGCTCTTTCTCTGCTTCCAGTGGTGATCGCCGCTCGGGAATGCGGGTGTGAAAGGTCCGAGCAGCCGCCCCAGCGGGGAGGAGACCCCGGGACGCCGGAAACCACCATCCCGAAGCTGCGAGAAGGGGGGGAAAAAGAGAGCATTCTTCATTCAGTTGTGTGCCTTGTCAGGGATAGGAAAAAAAATCGCTTTTTTTTTTCTTATAAAGAAACACTTCCGTGCTACTGTCTGTCATCGTCTCCGAGGGAAATCAGCCAGAATCACCGGAACGTAACCGCCAGCGGACCGGAGAGGCAGCAGCCCAGGCAGTACCTGCCGCGTCCCGGCGCCCGAGCCACCTTGGAACGGGAACGCGTCTCCGGCGGCCACGGGGCTGCGGCTCTGCCAAACTTTGGGGCGGGCGGGAGTACCGAGGGGGGCTTGGAATAGACGGAGGGCGGCCCCCTAACCATGATGTTTCGCGACCAGGTCGGGGTGCTGGCGGGCTGGTTTAAGGGCTGGAACGAGTGCGAGCAGACTGTTGCGCTGCTATCGCTGCTGAAGCGCGTGAGCCAGACCCAGGCCCGCTTCCTCCAGCTCTGCCTGGAGCACTCGCTGGCCGACTGCACCGAGCTGCACGTCCTGGAAGGCGAGGCCAACAGCCCGGGTAAGTGCGACGCCATCGGGCGTCCTCCCGCCCCCCCCCCCCCAGCCCACCCTGGAGCCTCACCCCTCCTCCTGCACCTCTAGCTTCAGATCCGGCCCCGCCCCCTCCCGCCCCCCCTCGCCCGCCGCAGCGCAGACCCCCCCACCCCCCAATCGCGCCAGCCCCTCGGGATCTTAGCCTGTACCCCCGATCCGGTTTCCCCCTCCGCTGGCCGCTTTGGGGGTTTTGTCCACTGTGAACTCCTTAGTCCTATTCCGTGTGGTAGCCACGGTAGCGTGAATGATTGATTTTTTTTTTTCTTCTCCCATGCAGTTTCCTGGGAAATAAGTAAGTCAGGTCACGTAGAGTCTGGATTTTCTGTGTGTGTGTGTGTGTGTGTGTGTGTGTGTGTGTGTGTGTTTCCCTCCCTTAACATTCCCGCCCCCACCCTCCCTTCTTTTGGGCAACGTGGCTCGCTGGATTTCAGCAACACATGTGAAAGCCCCGGGATTGCCCTATGGCTACAAACTCAAATCGGGCTGTATGAAGAATGCCTACAAATGCGATTCTATGATTCTCCCTCCCTCCCCCTTACCCCAGACAGATATAACGGTTTTAAGAGGCTTGTCTTCAGAATAATATGTAGGTGACGCTACAGGCTATTAAAATGACACTTGCAGTGGGGATGTGACGTGGCTACACACTGGTGGTGACGTCCGCCGTATTGATAAGGATCTTGGAGGAAGAGCAGGCATGAATTGGGCTCCTTAACGCTTTTCCTTAGGAAACTTTCCTGAATGGCACAAAATTGTTTCCCGGTACCCTGCTGGTATTTACAGACACCTCCACTCGTATAGAATGTAATCTTCTCTCGCAAAGGTCCAGCAGTTTGCCATTTGCTAGCCTACATGGTGACAGACTGAAATTATATCCTCACAGTAATCGGAGGCTGTGCGTGTGTGTGGGGGGGGAGGCAGGGAGGTCTGCTAGTGTGTAATTTTTTTTTTTGGAAGGGAGAAAATTCTTTGGTTCACACTGCTGCAGGAGGGTGAACAGAGCCCCCAGTGTTTCTGCAGAATAAAGAATGCAGGGTCCTCTTCCAGCTGTTCCCTGTTAGCACAGCAAGCCTTCAAGACTGGGCAGAGCTCTGGGCTGCCTTTTGATGATAAGGTCCAGTCCAGCAGTCCAGGGCAGGGGGCCTTGGGAGACAGTCAAGTTGTGCCTTTACAGGAGCAAGAGAAAAGCTGGCCGCTTCCTCATTCCTCCTGGCTGGCATTGGGCATTGGTGCTCCTGAGGTTGAAATCATTAAGATGGGATGTTTCCATATATAGAATCGCAGGGTGGTGTGGTGAAGGCTGGAAATCCTCACAGGCCTTTTCCTGATGGCACCCAAAGGAACCTGCTTTGTGGAGCAAGGAGGTCCATCCAGCCATAGGGCTCCTCACAACTATGGCAGTGCCAGGGCCCCCTTTGCTTGAGCACCACATTTATAAATAGCTGAGGGCCAGCCTCCTTCCTAAGCAGTAGAAGCATGACAAGGATAATTCATGATCTATTTGCTTTGCTTTTTAATGTCAACCCATAGCCCAGTGCACCCGGGTGTTTTTGCTTTCTCAGGTTTGACAAACAAGGTTAAATAAACGTTTTTTTTTTTTTTTTTGGGTAGAACCCAAGAATTTAAGTATAGTCATTTATGTTGAATGCTTTGACTTCAGCTTGTCGGGACTGTTTAAACAAGTGATAAATCTTTACATTAGTCAAATATTGGCACTTTTCTTTTTCCCTTTGAGTAATGATGAGAGATCTTTCCTAATATAGCTTCTGTCAGCTTAGGAAAGAAAGGAATGAGATGTTGTATTTTACTAAACAGAAGTATTACTTTAAAAACTTATAATTTAACATGTTCCAACTATTTGCTAATTTTTTCCCCTCTCAAACTTAAAAATATGTACCAAGATTTGAAATCAGGGCTCCAGCCTAGCCTGCTCAGCTTGCTTGGTTAGGACTCTACAACTTGAGCCACCACCACCCCCTGAACTTTGCTGTCTGGCCTGACTTGGAACTATGATTCTCCTGATCTTACTTTCCTGAGTAGCTAGAATACAGATGTGAGCTACTGGTTCTCAGTTCAAGTTTTTTAATTTTTTTTAAAAATCATACATATTTGTGTAAAGTATACACATCTTTGTACCATTAAATAATGTAGCTGTGTAAAATATATCATGCCATTATGTAAAATAGGGACCATTTTTCTAGTTTTTGGATTGATCTCTCAAGTGAAACATTTTACTGGCATTTGTTTTATTGTGTGGTCTGGACAGAAATTTATTAGGGACGTCACATGGTTGTCTGATTTACTTTTGGAGGATAGAATCATAGACAGCATCAAGATCTATCACTGAGTGCCTGTGGGTCTTTCTTCCCATCTGGAACTTAGCAGAAATGTCCACTTAGCAACCAGAACAGATGGCATAAGTGACCAGACCCTATCTCAGAACATATTATTTTCCTAGATGCAATCCTAACTTTTTCGCTGTAATTTGACAATGATCCATAGATGATATATTAGGAATAGCACATTAAGAATAGAATAAGCTGGATACTGGTAATTTATTTTTTCACGTATAAACTACTAGTTCCTCAGAAGCCTGAGATCTGAAGATTGTAGTTTGAAGCCAGCCCGGGGAAGAATTTTATCTACAATAACCAGCAAAAAACCAAAAGGTGGAGGTGTGGCTCAAGTGGTAGAGCCCCACCTTGAACAAAAAGCTAATGGAGGTTTGAGTTCAAGCCCTAGTTCCAGCACACAAGAAAAGAATGGGATGAGAGGTTGCTGTAACCAGCAGTGAAAGTGACTCCTGATTACCTGACAGCTAGAAAAGAATTAGGAGAACTATAACTTTAGACACAGGAATTGGAGTGAAAGGCCTGAAGGCTTGGAGCTCTTAAGGTAGGAACCCTTAGTTGATCCTGCTGGCATCCCTCCCTTTGTAAAACAAAACAAAACAAAAGACTAATGATTGCTGTTTACTGGTAATAGCAACAAACTACCAAAAGGATATATTAGGTAAAAAAAAGACTCTCTAAGAAGACTGGGAAAAGCTCAGTCTACTTGGGAAATATTTACACCCAAGTTAATTAACCTCTGAATCTGTTTTGATGTGTCTTACCAATTCAGAAAACTAGGCTGTGCTGGATGACTCATTCATTGAATGGCTGAGATTTCCTGTAACCAAGTCATCCTCTATCTTCTACTTCATTTTGTAATCATCAATTAAAGCATGTGCATTTTTTCTTTTAATTATATCTTAACTTTAAAATTGGATAGATGGGAACCAAATTTATATCTAGGGCTTGATCTCAGTGTAGTAAAGAAAAACCATTAATAATAATATGAACTGACTTTGACCACTAAAAACTATTTTAGCCAGGCACCAGTGGCTCATGCCTATAATCCTGGCTACTCAGGAGGCTGAGATCTGAGAATTGTGGTTTGAAGCCAGCCCTGGCAAGAAAATCCTTAAGACCCTTATCTCCAATAAACTACTCAAAAAAGCCAGAAGTGGTGCTCAAGTGGTAGAGCACTAGCCTTGAGCAAAATAAGCCCAAGAAGAGCACCCAGGCTCAGAGTTCAAGCCCCAGGACAAGCAAAAAAACCAAAACCTAAAACCAATTATTTCTTTTGGTACTGGGGTTTGTCATACTTGCCCAGCAGGTGCTATTCCACTTGAGCTTTTCTACCAGCTCTGAACTTAGGTTTTTTTTTTTTTTTTTTTTTTTTTTGGGTCTGGTCGTGGGGCCTGAACTCTGGGCTTGGGCGTTGTCCCTCAGCTCTTCAGCTCAAGGCTAGCGCTCTACCACTTGAGCCACAGCACCACTTCCGGCTTTTTTCTTTTTTTTGCTTATGTAGTGCTGAGGAATTGAACCCAGGGCCTCATGCATGCAAGGCAAGCGCTCTACCACTGAGCCACCTCCCCAGCCCCTGAACTTAGTTTTTTTTTTTTCCTTGTTGATTTTATTTTATTTTTTTCCTCTTCAGTACTGGGGTTTGGATTTTGTTAGGCAGGCACGCTAACATTTGCCACACCTACATACAGCTCTAGTTATTTTTCAGGAAAGGTCACACATTTTTATCTGGGGCAGGCCTCCCTGTAGCTGGACTCATAGGTACATGTTCTGTTTATGTGTTCAAGTGGAGTCCCTATAATTTTTCTACCTGTGTTGGCCTTGCTCTGCCTTCTGAGTAGCTGGGATCATAGGTGTAAGCCACCCCACTAGACTGGTTTTAGTGCTTTTTGAGCTATGGTTTGTGTGTTTGCCTTGGAAATTAATTATTATTATTATTATTTTTGGTCGGTCATGGGGCTTGAACTCTGGGCCTGGGCGCTGTCCCTCAGCTCTTCAGCTCAAGGCTAGTACTCTATCACTTGAGCCACAGTGCCATTTCCGGCTTTTTCTGCTTATGTGGTGGTGAGGAATGGAACCCAGGGCCTTATTCATGCAAGGCAAGCACTCTACCACTGAGCCACCTTCCCAGCCCCTGGAAACGAATTCTTACCTTCACCTCCTCAGTAGTTGGGATTATAGTCATGGATCACCAGTTCTGGCCCTTGAGTGTGTGTTTTATTGCAAACTTTCATCCTCTTGAATTTACTGAAAATCTAGTGACTCATTGGGTTATCCTTTATGGTCATTAGAGAGCCAAAGTAGTTGACTCAGTGCGTACTGTAGTTTGAGTCTGGAATGTGTCCTAAAGGCTCCTGTGCTGCAAGTCCCTAGTTTGGTATTATTGCTTTGTTGTAGAACCTTTTACAGATGGAGCCTGTACAGAAATATTCAAGTCATTGGAGGTCTACTCTTATGGGGGATAGTGGGACACTTCCCCTTTTCTTTTCTTCAGCTCCCTGGCCATGAAGTGATAGGCATTGTTCTGTTGTGATGTGCTACCTGTCCCAAAGCAACCATGCCAACTGGTGATAGATTGGAACTGCCAAAACCATGTGTTAGAATAAACCCTTTC